CACTCACACACCAGTCACTCGCACAGGATTCACACACACAGGATTCACACACACACCAGTCACTCACACACCAGTCACTCGCACAGGATTCACACACACAGGATTCACACACACACCAGTCACTCACACACCAGTCAGTCACACAGGATTCACACACACACCAGTCACTCACACACCAGTCACTCGCACAGGATTCACACACACAGGATTCACACACACACCAGTCACTCACACAGGATTCACTCACACACCAGTCACTCACACAGGATTCACTCACACACCAGTCACTCACACAGGATTCACGCACACACCAGTCACTCACACACCAGTCACTCACACAGGATTCACACACACACCAGTCACTCACACACCAGTCACTCACACAGGATTCACACACACACACCAGTCACTCACACACCAGTCACTCACACAGGAATCACACTCACAGGAATCACACTCACAGGATTCACACACACCTGCACGCCTACCTTCAATTTTGTAACTAAGTGAAAGTCATTTTATTAAAATCTATAGCTCCTCGTTTATACATTGTAAAATTTCTCAAATAAGCCTAGAATTTTGTTTACATTTTGAACATATGTTCATCCTACCTAGAAGATCTGGTTCATAACTGTGATACTGAGAAACAGCTAAGGAATAAGGACCGCCTTGTACTGCTGTGAAATATGCTTTCTGTCACAAATCTGTAAGGCTACAGAAACACATGACTAACAGTTCATCATCCTAAAAGTGTTACTGAAGTCCAGCAGATGTCATGTTTTTTTTGCCTTTTTTACTGAGACCATTTTATGACAAATCAAACCTATAAAATACTTTATATCCATGTCCAGCATATATTTTGTATGGGGCAGGGGAGTTGTACTGTATGAGAGATGGGAGAGAATTATTGATGAGTGTCGTTAGGTATTCATCCCCTGTACGTATGTCAGGATTGTTGGAATCTAAACAGCGTGTGATTGGCCAAAAAGGTGTCATGTTAGCCTCTGTCCGACATTTTAAGTTTATGGGTCCATTTCATATCTGGGTAGTTACTGTGCAGTTCTCTCACTTTTCTTTTTCCTTTTCACTCTCTTTCCTTCTTCCAGTGTGATAGATTGTCCTTTGAAACCCTTCATGAAGTCACCATGGTAACGTCCGGCCATGCAAGGAATATTTATGAGTGAATCCCCATGCAGGGCATCCCCCTTCTCTTTTCTCTTTTTTATATCCATCTTTCCCGGTCTTTCCTGCTCTTGTACTATCTCTCTCTGCCTGTGTTTTTCCAAATATCGCTCTTCCTAACGATATCCCAGATCTTTTTACTTGGGCTTGCCAAATCTTTTTCTAAACTCCTAAGTCTTTTTCTTGACAATATTTTCAGATATTTCAGAGCTCTAGCAAAACAAGCCGCTCTCTACACGTTCTGGCAAAGCACATGCTTTGTCAAATACAGTTAATCTTACACTAACACACTGAGTAAAAGGCAACCATATCTAGCACAGCTTCCACCCCCACGTCCTGTCCTCTCAACTGTTTGTTATTCAAGTCATTACAAGCCTTGGAGGTGCAGCCCAGTAGAGCAGAATGGGAAAAAGGGCCCAATGTGCAATGCATCATGGGACATTAAATTAGCAAACAAACCAGTAGGGTAATCAGATGACAGGTTGACGTATGGCACAAGCTTGGAAGGCTATTCCGTTTTGCAAGGTTGACTTGGCAGTGCATAATTTTCAGAATGGAAAGGCACTTACACAAGACAAAAATATGTATTTAGTTTATGTATTGCTGTTCATGCTGACACACTTAATCAATCCAAAGGGTGTATTATGGATTTTCACATTATATTATCATTGTTGATTGTAAGTATTGTTGAATAATGTTTTTTTTTTACTGTGCCTACAGTGACAAAAAAAATGTTTTTATTTTGTTGATGAAACCACTTAAATAAGTGACAGAACAGAACAATTTGTGACTAATGCATTATGCTGGCCTGCAATGAAATACCCAATCGTACTGGTACAAGGTGCACAAGCAGAACATACACATATAAATATATACACAAATGTCAGCCTGTAATATATGCAAAATATGGGAGAGTTATGGCTCTTCCCTCTTCCTCACAGGTGACCGGTACCACGCCTCCCAGTTCTACTCCTCTCTTTTCCCTGCTCCTGCACCATGTTTGCCGTTCCAAGGAGAACCATGGGGTCCCACCTCAGACTGTTTCTCCCGGGCGTCCTGCTCCTTCTCTTTCTGCTGCCTCAGCCGTGCTCCCCCGAGTCTCAGCCAATAGAGGTGGAGCCCGTTTCGCCGTCCGTCACCACGGAGCTCTATGGCAACGACAGCGACGAAGCCAAACGCCCCTGTAGCGACTTGACCGTCTGTAGTCCGGGCATTCTGTTGCCTGTGTGGCTACCACTTCAGCCCGGCTTGGGGGATCAGGTGGCTCGAGCCATCGTCTACTTCGTCTCCCTCATGTACATGTTCCTGGGTGTATCCATCATCGCTGACCGCTTCATGGCCTCCATCGAGGTCATCACGTCTCAGGTACCGTAGACTGCCCGTCCTTTTGCTGGCGCAGATGTTCCCAAAACTCCCTTGTTTCTTGGCTCCTGTTATCTGCCCACCATCACAGGCCAGTATCTAGACATATATTAAGACGGAGTGAAAATAAGGACAGTGTATCACTTCATCAGGCTGAATTTCACGTCCTAGGAAGAACATGTTCTGAGAGTGTTTGTATCTAATGTCTTATCTCATCCTGCTTATTGTACTCATGAAGCATGGACGATATGATCTGCATGATAATGACAACAAATTTCGTATTTAAAATTGAATTTTATACTATTATTTCAATTACCTGCTTAGCTAAGTGTGCTAAAGACATGAGAACGAATAAGCTAAATAACTAAACCATGCTCTCAGTTTTATAATTGTTTTTATAAGTGCCTTGTTTTTACATTAGATCTATTTGTTTGCTGCTGAGCACGATACATTCTCCCTCTGTTTGTTTATATGAAGTGCTTGAATTGCTAATTATTGTATTTATTATTATCTTACTCATTGAGAAGTGAGAAGTGACTGGTGAGCTCTCAGCAATGAGCTGTAATTACAATGGAGCAATCATAAGTAGCATATAAGTATACTTTAAACATTATATGATTACACAATTAGTTTTTTTTTATTGTCGTATAACGTTTGTTATTAATGTATAACAAAGCTGTTAAGGTATGTTAGGATGTTAAAGTATACTTAAATGCTTAACTTATGGATGTTCTATGAATGCATTATGAAGGTGCACTAAATGTTTTATGAATGCATTATAAAGGCATTATAAATGTGCAGTTAGTGTAACGCATTACCCAACAGTTACGCATGAAATTTCAAAGCTGTGCATGTGCTTCCTGACATTCATGGCCCTTGCTTCAGGAGAAGGAGGTCACAATCACTATGCCCAACGGGGAGACGTCTGTGGCCACCGTGCGCATCTGGAATGAGACAGTGTCCAACCTGACGCTGATGGCTTTGGGCTCCTCAGCCCCTGAGATTCTGCTCTCTGTCATTGAGGTATGTGCTGTGAGAGGAGTCTGGCCCAATTTCAGTACTACAGATTTAGGCTATTCTAAGTGTTATGGGGGGAGGGCATGTTAGAAGCGGGGGTGGGGGGGGTGGGGGAAGGGGGTCAGGAAAGAGGACAAGTTAAAGGATGGGGGGGGGCAGGACAGGGGACAAGTTAAAAGCAATGGGTGGTGCCTGGGGGGGAAACTGGGGACAACACAACAGCCGCAGTGTCCTCATTACGTGGGACCAATATGGCAATATCCACACCCCTTCTATCAGCAGATGGACCCTTCAGCTCAGTTCTGCTGCATCTGCCTGATATTGAACAGGCCCTTCCTTTCACATGACATATGGGCATAATTCTCAGACTATATAAGATTTCCAGTGTTTTTTCAAGGAAGAAATGTTGAGAAAGATAAATGAAATAATTGAGGTTCAACAGAACTTAATCTTTCTTATCTCTCCTCCAGGTCCGTGGGTGTAAATCCAAACCCATTCGTGCTTATTTGTTCTCTTCTAGTTTTTTATAAGGGTTTTAAAGGTCCAATGATATGCCATACTGGGGATTTAATAGCACTTTATCGCCCATATTAGGTGAATGTATGAGTGTCTTTTAATGGATTAATACTCTATGCAGAGTTAGCCTGGAGTCTGGATTACTTGTCACCCCAACTGCTTTTCAGCAAGTGTTTACTGAAAATGGGTGCATGAGTTAATTAATATATGATTCACCACTGGGACTGATAAATGCAGAATGATATTTTATGTTTCTGGTAATGGCCATTCAGTGCTTCCCACATGTCTGGTGGTAGGTGTGCGGGCACAAATTTGAGGCGGGTGAGCTGGGCCCAGGGACCATCGTGGGAAGTGCCGCCTTCAACATGTTTGTCATCATCGGCTTGTGTGTGTGGGTCATCCCCGCCGGGGAATCCCGCAAGATCAAGCACTTGAGGGTTTTTTTCATCACTGCCTTTTGGAGCATCTTCGCTTACATATGGCTGTACCTTATCTTGGCCGTCATGTCGCCAGGCATCGTGGAGGTTAGTCTATATATATCTAACTAAGAAACAAATAACTTAAATGTATGATGTGTGCATATTTCTATGCACAGGTGCAGGTAATTTCTCCTAATGGCTATAACGTACGTTAATTGTCAGCCAGGGAATCTATGTGTTCCATTGGTCCTGGAGAAATTTCATATCCTACGAAGAACATGTTCTGAGAATGTTTGTGTCTAATGTCTTATCTCATCCTGGTTATTGTACTCATGAAGCATGGGTGATTTGATCTGCATGATAATGACAACATATTTTGTATTTGAAATTTAATTTTATACTCATTTCAATTACCTGCTTAGCTAAGTGTGCTAAAGACATGAGAACTAATAAGCTAAATAACTAAACCATGCTCTCAGTTTTATCATTGTCTTCATAAGTGCCTTGTTTTTACATTAAATCTATTTCTTTGCTACTGAGAGCAATATATTCTCACTGTATTTGTTTATACAAAGTGTCTGAATTCATTGTAGGCTTATGACTATATGTCAGGGTTCCCCAATTCCTGTCCTGGAGGGCTAGTTTGCAGACCTTTGCAGATTTCCCTGCTGAGATACACCTACAGATCTTGCTAATTAGCTGAGTTAGATGAGTTTGAGCAGGGAAATCTGTGAATTCTGGTCCTCCAGGATGGGAATTGGGCATCCCTACTCTATATAGTCAGTGTGCCTTTCTTCTGCGGTGGAGAAGCACTTAGACCTCTCTGTTTGTGACTGTCTGTATCTGTCTGTTGCTGGACACCTGATCCATCTACCTGAATGTTACATACAGCCCCGGTTGCGAAGCTGCTGTGCTGTAGTGCTGCACTAAGGGGTGTGGGAACAAAACAATGACCTCTATATTCTCAGGTGTGGGAGGCACTGGTCACGCTGCTCTTCTTCCCAGTATGTGTCATCCTGGCCTGGATTGCTGACCGACGACTGCTCTTCTACAAGTACATGCACAAGCGCTACCGGGCCGATAAGCGCCGGGGCATTGTGGTGGAGACGGAGGGCGAGATGACACCCAAAGGTGATGAGATGATGATGGATGGCAAGTTCCCTGCCCGGGCAGGCATATTACCCACCGAGAACTGCCAGGATGGGAACAGTGTAGTGGGAGCCGGCCTTCCCAATTCCAACAGCACCACTGTCGCTATGGATAACAGCAAGGATCTGGACGAAAGTCGCAAGGAGGTTAGTAGCCTGGGGGCAGAGGACAGGACAGGGAGGAAAGCAGGAGATAGAGAAGGAGGAGAGTGAGAGTTTGGGCCGGAAGGTTTACTGAGAAGATGGGGGAGGTTGCAGCAACTGAGCTTGAAAATCAGAAATGGGAGATGAATGGAAAACCGGCCCCCAGTGTCGGTACCAGAACATATCTGACAGCAGGGTGTAGTTAGAGATAAATGGATAGGGGGGAGAGTCTTTACTGGGGGGGGAGGGGGGTAAAAAAGCCCCCCAAAAATAGGGCTAACCATGCCCCTGTCAGACGGTCAGGCCCAAGATTTTCACGGCAGGGAGGGTGGGGGTGGGGGTGATGAACCATTGGGTGCACAGTTGCTCTGTAGCCAAGCCTCTGGTGGGGGAGGACTAGGCTAGCAGGGTATTCTTTTTTAGCATTTTTGGTCATTATTTGTGGGTGGGGGGTGGGGCACTGGTGGCCTTTTGGAGGGACAAGGCCCCCACGGTACCCATTCGTGGCGCAGATACTGCTGGGCCCCAGTATTGTCAGTTCAATTCAATTCAGTTCAATTCAATTAATATGGTGCATTTTCACAACATAACATTGTCTCAAAGCGCTATTGTCTTGCTTGTTGTTCAGCATGTGCTCATATGTGCGCAGACAAGATGTCGCTCCGCACTCAGTCTGACCCCATCTGTACAGGTGATCCGTATCCTTAAGGAGCTGAAGCAGAAGTACCCAGACAAGGAGCTGGAGCAGCTGGTGGAGCTGGCCAACTACTACGCCCTGATGCACCAGCAGAAGAGCCGCGCCTTCTACCGCATCCAGGCCACTAGGATGATGATTGGGGCGGGGAACGTGCTGAAGAAACACGCGGCCGACAACGCCCGGCGGGCGGCGGCTACGGAGGATCCCGCCGAGAAGGACGACCTGGAGACGTGCAGCCACATCACCTTTGAGAGCCCCCAGTGGCAGTGCATGGAGAACTGCGGCACGGTTGCCCTTGCTGTCGTCTGCCAAGGCGGCACTGGTGAGAGCACCTTCTATGTGGACTACCGCACGGAGGATGGCTCCGCCAATGCCGGCTCGGATTATGAATACAGCGAGGGCACCCTAGTCTTTAAGCCTGGGGAGACCAGAAAGGAGATCAAGGTGAGTGAAGAACACAGTGGGGAGAAAAGTATTGTTCAAGATAACCGCCTCTATGTTCATTTATATTTTCAGAGGTGGAGAGTTCAGGTCCAGAAAGTAAAAATCCCGACCAAGATTTTGTTTCAACCAGGCAGTTGAACATAAAGAGTTCAACTATTTGGGGGATCTGGATTTAATTAGCGAATGGGCTGATACATGGCAGACGAAATTTAACACAGATAAATGCAAGGTAATCCATGCAGGGAGCAGAAATATAAAGTACAGATATTTTATGGGTTCCACTGAAATAAAGGTAGCTGATTA